AATCTAGAGAGACGATAGGGTTGTCATTAGACCTGTCAATGGAGCGGATCCTGATATGGATTGAACAAAAATTTCGATAATTCGATTACGATCTGAATTCGATAATCCGTGAGCTTAAAAAATGGGATATAGATTATGCTGATCCAATCCGATAAAAATCAGATCCGATCCGATTAAAATTATATATTTAAATAATTATTTATCAATAATTTTACATATTTATATCGATACTCCTATTAGAATTGTATTAGAATCCAAAAATCCAAAAAAAAAAAAAAAAAAAAATTATAATGTTATATATACAATAATGTGGTGTTCTCGTCCATATACTAATAAATCTCTTAGTACACATATTAATAGTGTAGTGTTTTCATCAATGTTATATATATTAGTTATATATTACTAAATTTATATACATTAATTATTTATCATTATATTCATTTGGTTGTAAAGTTATATTATATAGCATTCTGTTTATTAGCAATTCTCCACTTCATCTAACTTTATAATTATATATGTCATCTCAAAAAAAATATATGATTTTTATCTAAATTCGAATCCGATTTGATTTGAGCAGATCCTAATCTGAATTTGGATATGGATTGAACAAAAAATTCGATAATTTGATTACAATCTGAATTCGATAATCCGTGAACTTAAAAAATGGGATATGGATTATGTTAATCCGATCCGATAAAAATCAGATCCGATCCGATTAAAATTATATATATAAATAATTATTTATCAATAATTTTACATATTTATATCAATACTCCTATTAAAATTGTATTAGAGTCCAAAAATCCAAAAAAAAAAAAAATTATAATGTTATATATACAATAATGTGGTGTTCTCATCCATATGCTAATAAATCTCTTAGTATACATATTAATAGTGTAGTGTTTTCATCAATGTTATATATATTAGTTATATATTACTAAATTTATATACATTAATTATTTATCATTATATTCATTTGGTTGTATAGTTGTATTATATTGTATTCTGTATATTAGCAATTCTCCACTTCATCTAACTTTATAATTATATATGTCATCTCAAAAAAAAAAAAAAATGATTTTAATCCAAATTCGAATCCAATTCAATTCGAATCTAAGCTAAAAAGGATATGAATTTGAATATTTAGTCCGAAAATTTGTTAATAATTTGAATTCAATTATCTATTTGTTTAATAAATCGGATATGAATTCGATACATTGACGGAACTAATTGTCATTATTATTTTTGACTATTTTTGTATAGGGGGAGTACAAATGTTTTTCACATTTTGTTGCTTTTGTCCTTGTAATGGCAGGGACATGGAAACATTTTTTACCAGTCAAACACGACATCGAAATGTGTAGTGTGAGCAACATGTTGATAGCTTTTCACGTGTTAGTTGCTTTTGCGCACTGAATTTAAAGATATATATGGACTTTTCACAATTATAGATATATATTCATTTTATAATTTGTTAAAGCATGAATCAAAATGGTCTCGTATCCTTCGTTGGCTTTTGCAAAATGATTTTCTCACATGTCTCTTTTCTTTTAATAGCTAACTCATTCCCGAGCTAGTAATCATTGTCAAGTAAAAATAATAATAATAATAATTATTATTATTATTAAAAAGGTTCATGTGTGTATAAAATCCTTTATATTTTTAATTTGGTGCAATTAAGCCCTGTTAACATAAAAAGACATTAATACCCTCTTGCCAATAAAATAAAATAATATTAAAAAAATCAAGCAATCTAAAATTACTATTTTAGACATTCCCTCTGATTCACTGTGTCCAGAGCACAGCCTAAAGTCACAGCCACAAAAAAGAAGAGGATGGCCGTCGTGGAGAGATGGTCGTCGAAAAGAATGGCCGTCTTAGAGGCCCTCATCGCCGCCAATCCAAGGATGGTCGTCGGTAGGTTTGGTGCTCACCTGAATTGGGTCACCCAAGGCTTGCCGGAACTGTGCTCTGTACTTATCACCGAACTGATACAAAGGAAAGCTCGCCGGATTGTATACTAAAATTCTTCACTCGTTTTGGGTTTTCAATGGTGTTCACCGGAGATAGAGCTGAAACACGCCGGAAAGGAGCTGTTCACAATGATCGCCTGAACTGATTGCTAAACCATGGTCGCCGAAGCTCTGTAATCTCGCCAGAGTTGATCTCTAAAATTTTCTAGGTTCGTACCGGCGACCTAGTATTTGGAAAAAGAGGACGTGAAGACAAGTTCTGACTTTTGGGGTTTTTGAAATTCTGAAGAGATTGGATTCTAAGAAGAAGAAGAAGAAGAAGCAGAGCGATAAGGTTCGACATGAGAATGGAGTGAAGTCTGATGTTGTGTATTTGAAGATATTTTGGGGTAGTACAGAGGGCAGCTTTATGTACCCGAGCAAATTTTTGGTGCCAATTTGTGGGAAGAGGAGAAATTCAATAGGGATTTCGAGGCATTGCTGAAATGAGCTTCGAGGATTTTTGAAAAACCATGAGGAATTATGAGATAAAGCTTTTGACGACGGAGGAGGAAACAGGCATGCCTTGCAGTTACAGATTCAAGGATTATTGTGGACTTAAAAGAAATTTCCAGTCACAAGAACTTAAAAAGAAAAAAGTGGTGAATAATGAATATACACTTCTTAATTTTGTTATAAATAATTTATTCGCTAAATTTGACCGTTAAGTTATGTAAGGATACCAATGATGGCATGGGCCGGATCTAACCCATATGATGAAGAATGGGCCTGGCAAATGGCCTGGACCCAAATCAAGCTGTCATCAGGCAAGCCCAATGCCGAAGAGTGAAGTAAAAGGCTTTAAAGATGAGTGGATCCATGGATGCAAAAGCCTCAAGGAGGAGCCCAACAATAAAAGTTAGTTAAGGATTTTCTAGAACATTGTAAACAATCTATAAATAGGTGAAAAATAAAGAAAAAAAGGAATCAAAAATATTTGAAGTGTAATGAAACTCTGTCAACTTTGAGAGAGAGAATAATTGAATCTTCATTGGCGCCGTCCGTGGGAATCGATGAGAATTCATTGATGTTTCACTCAGATTGATTTGATCTAGTAGTGTAGTGCGTGAAGACGAAGCCTAATCGTTGAAGGCAGAATCAAGGTCGGTGAAATCATGATCGGAGAAGTTGGCATTTGATCTACGCAGTTCTAATTTGTGCTTATTTTGGAGAGTTGTACGGTCGAAAGTTGCTGAGATTGCTGAATTTGGGAGATTCGTCACCGGAGCAACTTATATCTGGTTAATCGTGATCGAAATTCAGCTGAGCTAGAATCCAGATATAGAGCGTCTGCATTAGCAAAGCTCAAATCTGATCAGAAATTCGCGGTTAATGACTTTACTACGATCCAGAATGATGATCGGAGGAGAGAGTTCGAATCCAGTGGAGAATGGCCAGCAGATGAAGTTTGATGAACTGATAAACATGATCGATGCTCTGAGAAAAGAAAATACAGAGTTGAGAGCTGGAATGGAATGCCGAGAGGTTCCGATTACGCCACTACCGCCTCCGGTGGGTGAAAGAGACGTGTGACCTGATGAAGCACATCAAGGTAAGCAAGAGAGAGATAACCACATCGATCTCCACCGCAAGGAGGTTAGGATGGAGAATTTACTGCCAAACGCTCGTCGAGCTGAGGATCGAGAAGGATCTGTACATCTCGATCCACATCGTGAGCATATCCGGCGGGAAGAAAATACAGCTTTTCATCCGCATCAAGAAAGGCATAATCTCGAATAGGATATGGAGTTTGATTGTCACAAGATTAACTCGCCGTGGCAAAAAGAGTTCACTGAGGAAAGGTCGTTCGATCCACCTTATTGGCCTTCAATGGTCACATATGATTGTAGGAGTTCGGAAAGAAGATCTACAGATCAAAGAGTTGTCACGAGGTTTGAAAGAGAGAATATGGCCCTCCGTTCGGTAGCGCGGATGGTTCATTCGCCGTTTACTGACAAGATCTTGAATGCTCCAAGCCCGAGGAAGTTTTCTATGCCTGTTTTCCTTTTGTTTGACAAAACGACCGATCCGATTGATTATGTATACCACATTCAGTTGAAGATGGCCCTGAACACAGAGAATAATCTTTTGATGTGCAAATGTTTTCCTACAAGCTTAGCCGGACCGGCGCTCAACTGGTTCAAGAACCTGCCAAGGGGCTCAGTGGACAGTTTCCGTAGTTTGTGTGATCGGTTCAAAAGCCAGTACTATGGGAATAAGCGCTCGGCAAAAGATATCTCTAGTTTGTTCACCATGAAACAGCATGACGATGAACGTCTCTAAGCTTTTCTTACCAGGTTTAACCAAACCAAGAGCATGGTGATAGAGTGCTATCCATCCACAGCAGTTCAAACGTTTAAGTTAGCAATGACCCGAGGGACACTGTTCTATACCAGTCTGGTGGTGAACACGCTAAAGACAGTGGACGAGCTAAATGAGAGAGCTAATGGTTTTGTGCGCCTGGAAAAGGAAGAAGCAGCTAATGCTAGGAAGACATCTATCATCTCCACAGAAGAGAAGTCCAAAGTGAAGATACGGCAGAAGCAAGTTCCTACGCAGCGTCAGACCTCCTGGAAGGCAGAGAAGAGACCTAGGGAGGATGATATGGTTACTCTACTCAAAGTTACCCTGGCAAGGTTATACCAGGAGAACAAAGATAAGTTTTGCCCTCCCTTGCCAATTAGACAACCTCTTGAGTAGAGGGATCAGTCTAAACATTGTGCTTTTCATAGTGATTTTGGTCATTAGACTAATGAATGCAGGAACTTAAGGAGACAAGTGGAGATGCTGATCGCTAGGGGAGAGTTTGCAGGGTATGTTCAAGGACCAACCCAATAGCAGAATTGACCAACTAAGCAAGTCAAAAGAAATCAAAAGCTGAATCACCATAACACTCAACCTGTTTGGATTATAAATGCGATTCATGGTCAACCTGAATGAGCTGAAGAGTCCGAAGAATTGACCAGAACACGTCTTCGGCAAGCACAAATGAAGAGAAGAATAGGCAGTGTCAACACTCTGCACCAGCAGAGCGCATCAACACAGATAAGATTTGATAAAGCAAGCTTGAAGCGAGTTCAGATCCCTTATAAAGACCCCCTGGTCATTAGCTTAACAGTGGCAGAGTGTTTGGTACGAAGGGTGCTAATTGATCCAGGAAGCAGTGCCAATATCATGCCTAGAGTCACCTTTGATCGGCTGGAAATCAAGCCAGAGGAGCTCAAGTGTACTGGGAATCCACTATTGGGATTTGATGGAAAACGAGTTGAATCGATCGGTACAGTAGAATTACTTGTCCGAGTAGCTGAACGGGACCTTATCGAGAGCTTTGTGGTGGTAGAGATCCATCTATCTTACATTCTGTTGATAGGGAGAGGGTGGATTCATAGGGTATAAGGAGTCCTATCGACCCTGCACCAAGTGATGAGATGCTTGGGTCCGGATGGGAACAAGGTGATTGACATCCATGGAGATCAGGTTGCCACAAAGGAATGTTAATCAATGACTTTGAAAGCTGCAGGGAAGGGGAAAGCTCCCATTCGCCAAGCTATCACACACAATAGCAATTAAAGAAACCTCCCCCCGGTACAAACTGGGAGGAGCTTCCGGTGCAAACCGAGGAACCCCTAGTTGAAGTTCAAATTGATCATTTAAGGCCAGATTGAACCACAAAGATAGGTTCAGGGCTTGCCGAGGAAGAAAAACATCGGTTGATTGATTTCCTCTCCCAGAACGCCGATGTATTTGCTTAGAGCCATTTAGATATGCCAGGGATCGCCCTCAGTCTCTTGTCATTCTCTTAATATAGATCTGAATGTCAAGCCAGTAAGGCAGAAGCAGAGAAGGTTCGCCCTGGAACGCAATCAGATCATTATAGACGAAGTTAATCGATTGTTGAAGGCTGGGTTCATTAGAAAAGTATAGTACCCGGACTGGTTATCGAACGTGGTTGTAGTGCAAAAAAAGAATGGAAAATGGAGAGTTTGCATTAATTTCACTAATCTGAACAAAGCCTGCCCGAAGGATAGTTTTCCACTTCCAAAGATTGATCAAATGGTGGATACAACAACCGGGTACGAGCGGCTGACCTTTCTGGATGCATATTCAGGCTACAATCAAATCCTAATGGACCCAAGCGATGAGGAAAAGACCTCTTTTGTCACCAAATGAGGGATCTATTGCCACAAGGTTATGCTGTTCGGACTGAAGAATGCCGGAGCCACGTACCAGAGGTTGGTTAACAAGATTTTTAAGGATCAAATAGGTAAGACAGTAGAGGCTTACATCGATGACATGGTGGTCAAAAGCAGACAGAAGGACCATCACTTACAGCATTTACAGGAGGTGTTTAGCATGCTAAAAAAGTATGGAATAAGGCTGAATCCAACTAAATGCTCATTCGGCCTTGGATCCGGGTAATTCCTTAGCCACGTGGTCAACAACAGAGGAATTGAGGTTAGTCCAGCCCAAGCGGAAGCTTTTCTAAAAAATGCTGAGCCAAGTACTATCAAAGAGGTCCAAGCTCTCACCGAACACATAGCGGCACTGAGTTGATTCATTTCTAAGTTATCCGACCGATGGAAACCATTTTTCGATATAATTAGGGGTCATAGAAAACAGTCCTAGGAGGATGAGCAAAGGCAAGAGTTGATCAAGCTAAAGAATATATGCGGAACCCACCAATCTTGAACGCCCCAATGCCAGGCGAAAAGCTTTTCCTGTACCTTAGAGTTTTTAACATTACAACCAGTGGTGTGCTGATACGATGTGCTGAGGGTAAGCAATTCCCGGTTTTCTATGTAAGCAAAACATTGACCGAGCCAGAGAGAAGGTATTAGAAGGCCGAACGAGTAATCTTATCCTTGGTAAACGCAAAGAGGAAGCTCAGGCATTACTTCGAGTCTCATCCTATAGTCGTCCTGACCACATTTCCTATAAGGGTGATCTTGTATAAGCCCGATTTGTCTGGACGAATGACGAAGTGGGCACTAAAGCTTAGTTCTTTCGATATAACTTGTGAACCCCGAACGGCTATTAAAGGGCAAGCTATGGTTGATTTCATACTGGAATGTGATGTAGATGAGCTAGATGAATGATCGGTTGAGTCGATTACAATTATAAATCAACCTTCGCAATAGCACGAATCATTGTAAAATAGGGCTATTGGTCGGGTAAGTCGAACCACTGGAACTACGCTAATCTATGGCAACCTAAGTGTCTAGAGTCTTTTTAGAATGATAGGGGTGTTCATAGAGGATTTGTTGGTTGTCACTTAAGCTATGAAATTAAGGTGCATAAATTAAAAGTTTGTAAGAATTTGAAGGAGATCAAATACAAGTAAAGAAGACTAGGGAAGTGAATCCGCCTCCATCCCTATACACATGCTAGATTAGAGCTAAATTGGGAGAAAAACAATATATACTATGGTCATGATACATAGCAACACTTGGTTGCTATAATATCCTCAAGAAGTTCATTAAATCTGAAGCAAGCATGATCCATCAAAGGTTAACATGTTTAGACTACCTAACTAAGGTGTAGCTTAACCACATTTACTTGAATGAAAGACTATCAAGCCCTAGAAAAAATGGTGAAGTACATGAAGGTAAGAAATAAGCATAAATCATCAAAGGTTTCACCTAAGCAATGATCTATCAAAGTCCTTGTCAACATGCCATTAAACCATTTCATAACCTTGCTTCCATTCTCACCATGAAAACTTAAGCAATATGATTAATATAAGACATCATCTACAACAAGATAATCAACTTAAAGAAATCATCCATACATATATCAACATTCATTACAAGAAATGAAGTGCTCTTGGTTATGAAAAGACTATAAAAATATACATTGTAATCCCCAAAATATATCCTAAATTAGAACATGCTTACAAGGGAGGGGCCTCATCACCTCCCTAGATGGAGGTTTAGTTACCCATGGGAGCCTTAGAAGAAGGAAGAAGCTTGGTTGCAACCTCCATTTTCGAGCTCCCTTTCCTTGGCTTCAAGAACTCTATCTTTTCCTCCTCTTTTTCCCTCCACAAATCTTGCTAAGATGAGATCTTATGTTATGTGTGGTCCTCTTCCTTTTGTAGACATTCCTCTCTGTTAGTCACTAATTGACTCTAGAGGGGGGGTGAATAGAGTCAAGGAGCAATTTTTTCAATTTAAAAATTATATTTCTACCAAACTGTTGAATATCAGTTTATTGAAATATTCAAGCAAAATAAAGCACAAAAATAAGAGAGATAGAGATAAGAGATTGCAAACAATGACTCGGTGATTTTGCGAGGTTCGGAAACTCCTACTCCTTGGCTCAAGATCCCCCTTGAGACTTCCCAAATTCACTAGAGCTTCTCCTTAATGGTGGAGAGCAAACCTTCACTTTTGAAACAAGATCTTGCTTCTCTTCTTTGCTAGGAGAATACCCTTCTCCTAGGCTTTCTTTTGGGTTACACCAACCCTTTACAATAGCTTTGAAATTTGAAGAAACAAGTGTACAAGAATCTCTCAAAGATAGATTACAGTGTTTAGCTCACAACTATAGAAAAGATGAATATACGTGAAGCTCAGAATTACTACAGTGATATGAAATAACAGAGAGGGAATGAAAGCTCAGAAAACTTCTTTAATGCTTTTCAAGGAATGATAGAATGTTCTCTGTTAAAAAAAGATCATTTAGTTTGAAGACCAACCTCGGTATTTATAGAATAAACAGAGTTCAATATAGCTGTTAGAGGTTGTTGAGAACATTTAATGAAAATGTTTACGGTACAGTTCAAAACCCTAAAGAGAGCCGTCTCTTGAAAACCAAAGAGCCTGCTCTTTGTTCATTTTCCTTAGAAAGAGCCTGCTCAATAAAAACGTGAGCCTGCTCTTTATTTTGAAGATCCATTTTCGTAGCTTTCTTGGAACAAAAAGAGCCCTCTCTTTCTTTTGATTGAGCCCTCTCTTTTTCTTAAATACTTCTCAAAGACTTACTGGAGTTAAAGAAAAGAATCTTCTCAGAGCTCACTGAATAAGAGAAAAGAGCCTTCTCTTTGTTTTATGGAGCCTTCTCCATCTCACATTATGATACTTAATATGAAATTCTTTAAGTCCTGTGAATGTGATCATGAGCTGATTTTATTTTCTTTGAGAAATAAAATGGGAATGCAATGCATGGATTGAATTTTGAGCTTCAAATATATTCAAATTAACTTTGACATTAAATCTTAAGCTCTCACCATCTAATCTACCCTTTTCTTCAATCTTTGACCATGATCGGTTAGCCTTTGATGGAGTACTTGAATAATCTTTGAATTCTTACAACTTCAATGCTTCCTTGAATCCATTGCTTGAGTACTTGGAATGCTTCTGGCTCAATATTGAGGATTGAATTAATTGATCAACTATATAGCACTCAAAGAAAATATTAGTACATAAACATCATTAATGGTTTGTAATCATCAAAATATAAGATTGACCTTTAGATTAAATCCTTAGGCCAACAATCTCCCCCTTTTTGATGATGACAAAACATTGATATGTTTATTGTCAAGGTGGAGTTACATTTTGAAATAATGCTCCCCCTATCAACAAGCATATCTTGAATTCATGTCAACAACAAATATTTAAAGAAAAATATGTCTCCCCCTATCAATGTGCGTCTATCAAAAATAGCAATGTAATAGAATAGACACAATATAGCCACAATATAGCATAGAACACATCTTTCTCCCCCTTTGTCATATAAAAAAAAAAATCTTCCTTTATCAATGGGAAATACTGACCTTTGCATGAAATATCAAAATGGATAAAGAAAAGTGCAATTAAATAGCAAAGATGGCAGTGTATAGAAAGCAGAAGTTGAAACAGAAGGAGAATTAGAAGACAACTACCATATGAGTAGATAAAAGCAGAGTTCATGATAAGGAGTTCAAAATGAAATAACATAAGTAAATAGAACATATCTAAAAATATGATTCTCTAAAGCAAATATAGCAAATGAGACCACAAAAATAGGTTTTAGACGGGGGTGATACTGTGCTAAGGAGAAGGAGGTCTATTTCCTTTGCGAAATGCTTCAAAATCTTCATTAAGATGAGTGATGGACATATGCACTTCGTCAAGTTGTCTTTGCTGGTGTGCAAGAGTAGTTTGTTGTTCTTCAAGAGTGGCTTGATTTTGACGAGTAGCTTCGAGAATTTTCAATAAAAGATCACGATTGGTGCAATTTTCAGCTGGAACTTCATCCTCTTCAGCACTGTCATCACTGTCATGTTCTTCTTCATCCTTATCATCAACTTCCTCAATTTCTTCTCCTCTATCTCGAGCCTCTTCAAACCTCCGTTGCTTAGGATAGAACCACATACCATTTGAATCCCTTTTTAGCCCCATTGACGCAAGATTTAA